GCCACTGGTTGAGGGGTCAGGGTACACAACAAGCTAACAACTTAACAAGCCATGTTCCTAGATCACAGATGCTTAAATACTTTAAATACTTTTGGTCCTTCTGACTGATCTAGTAATAAGACAGATGATTGATAGTATTGGTGGAGTAATAATAAGTCACCGTCGTTCCATGCGTCTACAGAGATTTAAACTGTCAAGTATCTGATTACGGACTACTACATATTCACTATACCGCTCAACTTTCAAAGTCCGTAATTATTCTCTACGTTTCAGCTGTCTGTTGTCAATTTTGTCGGGCAACCAATTGTTTGGTAGGAATAGGATACAGCACGTGTGTTATTGCGCGGCTTTGTCTTCGCCTTTACTTTCATCTTCTCCGGCTTTCACTCTCCAGCCTTTCTCTTTTTCATTCCGCTCTCCCCAGCTAGTATAGTTTTTGTCCCCATTCGATATAGAAATTTGAAACACTAACGACAGCTGCCTCCTTTGTTTACAAAAATTCCTAATTTTGCGGTATTTTTATGCCAATTTTAGCTTGCAATTGTTACTCGCCACGCTCTCCATTTTCATGTGTTTAAAAATAGGTTGACTCATTAGTTCACATAATTTGAATAATTTAGACACTTTGTACCTGGATAACTAAATATTGGGATTATACCTTTTACTTAACGTTACACTGCCGGCCAATGTGGTGGGTTGAGGAGGTGGGAGGGTGCCACTGGTAGATACGATTGAGGCTTGTTCTCGTGAGAATTTACTCTACTCAGTACTCTACCTGGTGTGAGAACACCATTGTCTTTTCGCCACACAATGCTTTGTTGTTTGTAAACCTGACTTTGTTCTTGATTGGTGAGGCAGATTGTTCAATAGCTTTTCTCAGCATCTTGTGCGGTTAATCTTAGAGTTCTCAACTGTCTATAAGATGGACCATCAATCAGATTTCTGGTTCAATTTGACCGTTCAGTGCTAGTCCTTTGTCCAATGTTTAGATGAATTCTCCCAATTCTTGCTTTGATAAATTTAAAGAAATTTTAAATACTCAGCCCCGAATAATATTTTAAATCCAGGGACCGAGCTCAGGTTTTCATCCAGTATCTTAATGGAAGATTTAGAATCGGAGTCAAATTATTGAGATGAACCGTTGAGAGGTAAAATACCGAGTTGCTAGAACGAGCTAAATGCGTTTGCTTCGGTTGACCATTGGCCGGTCTACTAGAAACGGCGGTCTACTAGAAACGGCGGTCTACTAGAAACGGCGGTCTACTAGAAACGGCGGTTTAGTGATGAAGTCCTGTTATAAAACTAATAATGGACAGTAGAGACTAGTGTAACTAGAGTTCACCATCTGTTACCAGTGAAACTGTCAAAAACTCATTGAATAGTGCCAACAAAGAAAATGACTTGTCAATTGTCACAGATGGTAGCATCTATTATAATATATTGATACAATAGTACAGTAAACCCCGATTTACCGTACCCCTTCCTGCCTAGATCGATCCAAATGTAGTCTGGAAAGAGTTTCAAGACAGGTTTACTGCAATTCTAAACATCTTCGTATTAATCTTCCTAGACATGTCCGATTTCCAGAAAGTATCTAGACTCTGCAGTTCTTTCCATGCTAGGCCTTTCTTAAACATTGATGTCTTTGCTAGTTGAAGCTATGTAAGATCCAAAGTATTTGAATACCCCGATTACCATAAACCCCGATTTACCGTACGTCAAGTTCTCTTTTCCCCAAAGTTTTGGACAAATATCAACATTTTTTATGTATGTGATACTTTGAAATACAGCTTCTGAATGGGTCCCTGAATCCTGATACCACGCGAGCTTGTTATTGTTACTTCCCCGAATAACACGTACACTGCACCTTACTTACGGGAACCGTACGAGGGTGGAAAACACAGGAGCGGTAGAAATAAGAGGGGAGGACACGTGGGCGTAGGACACAAGGGTGGCAATTTCCTAAAAGGGTGGACACGAGGGCGGATCACATGATACTCACTTTAACATTGACGCTTGTAAACAGAAGTTAAATTGTGTGATGTTGCAAGTTTTTTTTTCTTATTTAGGATAGTACCGCCCTTGTGACGTCCGCCCTCGTGTCCTATACCCCTCTGTCACAGTACAGTTGTAACACTGTCACAGTCCGCCCTCGTGTCCTATACCCCTCTGTCACAGTACAGTTGTAACACTGTCACAGTCCGCCCTCGTGTCCTATACCCCTCTGTCACAGTACAGTTGTAACACTGTCACAGTTGGAACCTTGCCACAGTACGCAGTTTTACGAATTCGAAATGTTGGCGACTCTGTCAGCGCCTGTCTTTAATGCGCAATCTTCTGTCATACACGGCTTCGTCTGGCCAAAGCATGCTAGAAGCTAATTTTGATTGCTTGAACGACTGAAAACACATTGAAGACCATGCAAGTGAATCGTCATATTATCTTCTTCGGCCAAATACAACATCTTTATTTTTATTTTACGTTTGTCCGCCACCATATCCGCCACTAGTTCTAATGTACCGTCACAATAGTGACTTTAATATACTGACCTCTGATATACACGGAAACTTTCAATCGAAATGCTTCCCCACTGAAAACCGTGTCTAACCTTGATATCTAAATAGATACAAGTTTTATAATTCAAATATTTTAAATTGCTCGTTTAATTGTACAGTTGTACAGTAGTAGAAATTCTCCAATACATTGTTAATTATATTTGCACAACTAGAAGTCAACCGTTTTCTGATACGTACTAACTGCCCACAAAGAGCAAATAATTAAGCTTATAATAATAGTGTCAGCGATAATAAGCAGAGATGTGACATTAATTAACAGTATAGACCGTAAATGAACAAGCACGCATGATGAGAGTTAGAGTTGATGGCTAATGACTTTTTCTCACTTCTTTGATAGAATTGCTCGTTTGACATCGCACAGTTTGTGTATTGTAATTGCTTTAGTTAAATAGAGTTTACAGTCTTGTCCCAAATATTTAGGTTGAAGCGAGTGTTCTTCCATTTAAACAATGTTATTACATAGTCCCGGTTTTCTTGAAGCAGTTTTAGGAAATACACAGTTTGGTGGGAGCACATCTCTGCTTTGAACAGGGCTCGACCACTTTTCGCTCTCTAACGGCTTAAAGTGGTCGTTAACCGGCGATAACCAGTTCTTACACGTTAATAACCGGTGTTATTTGTTAAGTGGTGGTGAGTCCGAACAATGTGTTATCTGATTCTAGAACAGTACAAAGACCCTAACTAAACGGCATATACTTGAGTCGTTCAGTTGAGAACCTGTTTCTGAAATTTACGTACTCTGGTACAACTGCACTGTCCTTCCTGTCAAGGTTGTATCATGTGATACCGAATAACGCTACTCACAAAGATTCATATCTCATACTGTGGCTAATCTAATATTCAAGATAGCACTTGCTAAATTTGATCAGAACGCTACCTGATAACTGATAAGTGATAATGTGAGTCTAATGTTGAAATACAGAAGTTCCCAGTCCCTTACTCGACTTTTTGGCTTTTGTTTTAGATGAACAGGTAGCCCTTATATTGCAATAAAATTAAAATTTAATGCTGCCTTTTTTGAAAAAACAATTAAAGTAAGACGAATCAGGTGACCGAAAAAAAACGAATGTTGTCCGAAGTTGAAATCTGATCAGAATACTTCACGTCATGTCGAAATCGTTCCTTGCTAATTACCACTTTTTATATTTAGATTTAATATCCATAAATTTGACTCTTTAACCTTGTGTAAATCCTGTGCAATCCAGGACAGGATTCTCCGAGCATTGGTCAAGGAATAAACTGAACATTGGTTGCCATTGTCGATTGCGATTAATGATCTTCATATTGTTCTTCTGTGTATACTACTGTAAGCTGTGAGGTTATCGGCAGGTTGTTACAGCTTGTCAGTGTTAATACTATCACATGACATACAAATGTGATCCGGACAACGGGTACCAATTAATACTCTTGACCGACAGCGACTATTGTCAAAAAAATATCGGATTCTGACAAAAGTCGCCCAATCATAGAAAGTAAGTAATATTTAAAATTTACAAGTAAGAATAATTGTACTACTAATTTAAGTTACTTTAAGAAATTATAGCAGTAAGCGCTGAAGACATCAGTTTTACAAAGCACACTGTACGAAGTGCACTGTGCAGGGATAGTAACAGTTAGTTTCTGCTCCCGTTTACTATGACCTGTTATATCTAGTTTGATCTAAACTCATAAACTATAACTTTTCTGTGTTAGTACTTAGAGTTAGAAGCGTCAGCAATGATGAGTTTCTCGACAGAGGCTCCATGAGGCAAGTCATTGTTTGTTTCCAGTTTATTATGACTTGTAAATTTTAAATTTTATTTACTCTATTTCTAGTCTGATCTACACTGTATCATTTGACGTGTTATGTATCTCGACGCATGCCCTATGAGGCAAGTCATTGTTTCTTCAGTGTTCAGAAAGTTAAGTTTGATTCTAATCAAGTGTTTCTTACTCCCTCGTACTTCATCAAAATGACATCAGGGCTTTGTGCATTGTTTCCATGCGTACTTTTCCGTGTCGGCCTGTTTGCAAGCTTTCTTTCTCGTGTTACGTAGACGATGCTTTATTTGAACGGACATTGAAATGAACGCTCGAAGGCATTCATTTAATGTATTTAATTTAACTACCTTGTCGGATTTATTTGAACGGCCTCCAGCTTTGGCCTCCAGCCTCCAATTAATGTCCGTTCAAATAAAGTCCGATAAGGTATAATACTGCAGTATATATAACATAATATAAATAAAACAGTATACTGTTTGCCTTATATTGTAGTCTAGATATATAATTGTGTCATCTGTCAGTTTGTGCGTCTCTAGCTCTCTTTGTCCGTCTCTAGCTCTCTTTGTATTGATGAATTTAATCATAACCTAGACTAAAAATTCTGTAAAAACGATCAGTTTTACCAGATCCGTATTTAACCCAAATTAAATAACCTACTAACTCCAATTCTAGTGACTTGAAAACACGTCTGCAGAAAAGAAATGACAACATACGTACCGGATCACAACCAAACTCTATACGAGATAACAGACGATGTGCACAAGGGGTTTCTCATCAGTTGGTGCATCATTCTCGGTGTTTTCTCCGTCTTTGGGAACACTCTGGTCTTAGTAGCATCCATCAAGTACAAGGCACTGAAACTTGACAACATCTCGGTAATGCTGATCAAGCATATTAGCTTCGCAGACGTGCTTTACGCTTTAGTGGTCATCCTCATGGTGGGATGGTCCCTCATTATAAACGACTGGCCCCTAAATCATCCGCTCTGTGAGGCTAGCGTGTTTCTTCAATTTTTCCTGGCGCTGGTGGACATCAATTTTATTTGGGTGCTGAATGTTGCAAAACTAACGTGCATCATCTACCCTTTCCGAGCAAGATTGCGCACTAAGAACACTGGGTACTTGGTAGCTGGCACAATTTGGCTCGCGTCCAACATTTACCCACTACAATGCGCGGCAATGCGCCGGCCTGTCTATTTCGACTACAGGTCGTATCGGTGTGCGTACCTCTCCACCCCTGATGTGTGGGAGTGGCTAGATCCTCTTAACACCATGATCTTCTTCTTGACCCCTAACATTATTGTCATAGTAACGACTATCTGGCTGCTCTTGTTCGCCAACAAGATGAAAGGAATCCACAAGCAAGCAGTCTTAACAATGTTAACAGTTTCTCTCGTGTTCTGTATCTCCTACGCACCGATTGGCGTTTACATGACTACCGAGAAGTGGATTACTGCTGCAGCGGGTGTAGATAAACACAAGGACTTCCTTTATGTACAGTTATACAGATATGGAACCTTAGTTAAATTCCTGAACAATAGCACAAACCCAATTATTTACTACGCTACTATCACCAGTTTCAGGGAGTTTGTCAGGGAGAAGGTATTTGGAATAAAGAAACAAAGTATCAGTTTCAGCACTAGGAGTCAGACAATAGCAATTAGTATCCGTGCTGTAGCCATGAAAAGACGTACTTCTGATAGACTCTCTAATTTTGTAAAAAACCGACATGCAACTACAAAACTGCAAACAGTCGAAATAGAAACCTAAAAGGACAAAATAGAAAACATTGTTTCTTGAGTAGGAGCATGTTAGGTTCTTTCACCATTTCGTTGACACTAAGTACCATTGTTACTGGAACCAAGCTAGGTAAAAGGTCGATTGTGACTCAGATCTTCAAATGTGATGATAAGAATAAACTAAAAACGTTAGATATAACAACATCACTTACTGATAGCTTGAAGAGTTTTACCAAGTCCCATCTCGTCAGCCAGGAGGAGACATCCATCACGCTGTAGCCCGAACAGAACACCCTCGCGTTGGAAAGGAAGGAGACTGTCTCGTAGGACGGAGGGTAGTTTGTTCAATGACTCTGTGTCGCTCTGAAGGAGGGGGGGGGATATTATTTGAGAACAAGAGGAAGTTGTATGCTTTAGGTTTTGTTAAATACCATGCTGGAAATGGAGATTATAGCGAAATTTTTAAAGTTTTTTATATTAGATGTATGTAGTTGTGAAATCGTGGAGGTCCGCAAGCACAACTTGCTGCACAAGTGTGTACATGAGCTTAAAACTTTTGACAACAATACAGTGAGCCCTCTCAGTATGCTTTTTTGAATTTCTAAAGTTCCGATTTATTTTTGGTTCGCAAGTGATTTTGCATTTGCTGGGGAATTTTTATGTTCGTATCAACCATTTAGGATGCTGAAAATATTATGAAAATAATTTTTCTGTTGCTATGAAGACTTAGCTTCATTAATGAACACATTATTTTCGTCTGTGAAATTCAATATAAATATTTACAAATCTTCACAGTGTTTTGGGGGTCACCCAAAGAATTTTGTGAAACTCGGTTAAGAGATATTAATGACGAATCCTAAGTTTCGCAAGGTAAACCCCATTAATTATCTTGTTTTTAAGTTAGTTTTCACTTATTACATAACTTATTATAACTAAAGAATAATATGATGTTTTAATTTGAGTACAGTAGACCCCGATTTAATTCATATTTTGAGGATTTTATCCAAGTTTCTACCCAAGAATGAAGAATATTATTGCTTGTTTAACTTATTATTATCTCGCTTCGGAGATAAAATATAATTTTCGAATATATGCAAAGTGAAAGTATTAACAAGAAGTAGAGATGAACCTGAAATGCCACCGCTGCTTGAAGCAAACTGTCATCATCGGAGTCGTCAAATCCGTCCTCGTCATTGCTCATGACATCCTTGCAGGGTTATTCTAGTTATTTCCATCGCATAGAAGGTGACAGAAGTGGATTCTGGTGAGGCATATGTTTTGACACGTGACAGTGATTCAGGGTTTTAATAGATCAATTGCTGCCAAGTGTCAAAAGAATATGACTCACCTCGCCACAGCTATAAAACAGCAATTTGTGGACGAATATCCCGCTGTTAATCAACACAAAATCTTCGTTAATTTCAATTAGAACGCGCGTGCGCTCGGCGCGCGTCAACATTAGCGTCGAAAATATGATAAAATATTCATAGCGCCTTACAACAAAATTTGCTGAAGACCGTTTCGGCCAATTGAGCTGTGACAAACTGGCAAAATAGGCAAGAAATTCTACGCATCGAGTCAAAAATCACTATAAAATCAACCAATAAATAATAAATGCATGAATAAACCGAGCTCTATCAAGTTCATTACACCGAATTTATCTGCGCCAATTTGCAAGGTCCATGCTGGTCTACAGAAAAATATCATTAAACTCAGAGTTTAGAAACAGCCTTTCTCAAACGTTTCAGAGTATCATCATGAGTATTGTAATGAGCATTGAGTAGATCACTTAGTTATTATTCTAACGCCACGTCCCCACCAAACTCTGTTAACTTCGCTTTAAGGGCCTCTGCCTCTGCTTTCGGTATCTTCTCCCTGTACATTTGTTAAATTAATGGTTGCTGTGAGGTCAATAGTCCATAGTTCATCCTTTCTATAATAAAATGGGCATTCTATGTACCGCATAACAAACGGATTTTTCCCAAATTTGTCCCATTTTTAAAGATGGGAAATAAAAACTTCCTGGACCGGAGTTTTACAGTACTAGCGTTAGTAAATCTTCAAATATAAATTTTTCCGGACCAAAACTTCCGTGCTGAGTGCAGTTTGGACAGAATTTCTCTCCAGTTAACAATTAGTTAGCTCATCATGGATGATATAATACATAATTGACATACTGGAAGACACTATAAGTTGGCATGCGACCTTTGTCTTAGACATTAATGTTTAGACTAGAACATTGTGTAATGTGTATCATAACTAATTTATTTGTTACCTCAACATACAAGGCGCAGATTCTACCATTTTTTTAGCAGCCACTAGGTTCAAATCTGGTATTGTCTCCTTCAGTGCTTTTATTAACTTAATCTGAAAATGATAAAAATTTTTAAAATGATTAAAATATCCGTAATAGACACCTGATTAAATTAGAATGATCACATATTAAAAATAATTTTACAGGAACACTGAAACTCAAACAAATTCGCTTACTTTCATACTACTGTCAATACCCAACAATCTAACATCAAATGAAGTCTTCTCTTCAACAACGGGTTCAGGCTCAGCTTCAGTTTCAGCAGCTGGAGCAGCAGCAGCAGCAGGTCCTGCCAACGCTATCTCTCCAATACCTGATGGGGTGCAATTTTAGTTATTTTTTCATTATTTTTCGTTATTTTCTTCGAAATCATAGAGCTCTCCTTCCCCTCAAACATTTACTAAAGAAGCGGGTGGCTAACGAATAATGTGATGCAAGAAAGATGAGATGTCAAGAATCATGTTCGTTCTACAGTGCAGGCGACATCACATTAATTGTGGGTGCTCTGGTACTTTTACCATAGTCAATAATGGAAAAAACAACTTCCCATTGTGAAATGTATTGCTTTTTCTAGACCACATTTTGAAGCTAAAAATTACTATGTACTATAGAATAGCAGTCCTTGAGAACTTTACCCAACCTAAACTCTAACTCACCAAGGCGTTCTTTTAAGACTTTGGTAAGCTGACCAGTTTCATGTAATGAGAGTCCGCAGATCTGATCAGCGAGAGATAGAACGTGTTCAGGAACTCCAGCTACACCAGACTCCGAGTCAATCTGGGGGGCTGGGACTGCTGATAGACAGCGCACTCTGAGGGTACGTCGCAGTCCGCACTGCACGCCACGCCGCAAACATACTTGCATCATATTGTGTGCTATGTGATCTTGAGAATAGTATAATGAAAAAAGTTTATAAAATATAGAAGTGGATTGTTGGTGGGGAGGTGAAGCATATTTTTTGACACGTGACAGAGATCTGCAGTTTGATTGGTCAATAATGGACGCTGATCGGTTAATTGCTGTCACATATCAACTAAATATGATTCACCTACTGACCAGTGACCAGAATACAGGTAAATATAAATGTCAAACATTTTGATGAAATGAAACAAAATCATCCAGTAAAATGTACTGGAAATAGTGTGACTAGAGGTGTACATACCGAATCAATTGTTCTAAACCCTGTTCACTTTGTAACGGTATTCAAGTCAATATTCAATGAAATAAAATGATCGAGGTACTGGAAGCTGAATATACCAAGAAATCTTTGATGGAAAATCATGAAAATGTCCTACCGGTATGACATTTTTAGATTTCAGCTTTCCGTGACCCAAATTTCAATGTTTTGACTGAAAATTTCTTCAAGGACCAAGTTATGAGTTTAATGTAAATAGCAAAAGACACGATTGAGGTACTAAAAGTTCTATTCAAAAAGAAAGCTTCGATATTAAACTGAAAACCACCAGAATAGAAGGAGACATTTAGGAGGATTTTTAAATAGACCAGTGACCAGTGGTCGACCGGGGGTAGGATTCTGACCGGGGCCAAGGAGCCCCAATATAGCCAGGGCCGGGGCCGGGAAATCTTCCATTTTGCCGGGGCCGGGGTCGGGGGTAGTTTACCAAACTGAAGTCAGAAATTGAAACATGAATTTGATAATAATTTAGGCTGGTGTGATGCAATCGGGAAGGATTAAACTCGAATTGCGGCTTATCCTCACTGACTTGAGGATTAAACCGCAACTTCGTGCTGTGAACCAACTCAGGATAATCCTCATTATCCTGAGATCCATACTTAATTTCTAATCCTCAACTCGGAACTGAGGACAACCCTCAGCTGCTATTTTATCTGGACCTCGGGATTTAAAAGTAATCCCACATCCAAATATGGCTCGGTTCATAAAAATTTACCATAAATGTTAGACTCTGTAGTTTACGTTGCGCCGTAGTTTTAGCTGCAGTGCAGTATTTTCATTTTCTAGTTTACTACGTATGTTTTATCGCAAATTTCTTGGAGACGATTAATTGAAAAGTCTGATACTGAGGAAGAACCACGGTTTTTATGTTACTAGCCATAGTTTAATTTAAGCCGTATTTTTTATTTAAACGTACCCAACGTAAACAATAACTTTTTCAACTTTGAAATCTCAAAATTACCATTAAATTATGTTTGATTTTTTTCAAAAATGTGCCAAAATCATTCATGAAATCCCCGGCTGTGCTCCCGGCAAATGCATGGTTTTTGGCCGGGGCCGGGGTTACATTTATTGGCCGGGGCCGGGGTTAACCCCTGGCGAATTGCCAAATTATGGCCAGGGCCGGGAATGGCCAGGGCCGGGAAGGGCCGGGGCCCCGGTCGACCACTGCCAGTGACCATTGAGTGAGGACAGTGTGAGTGACACAAGTCACCATTGAGGTACTGGAAACTAAATATCCGGAGAAATCTATGATGACAAAAACAACTTATTGTCAGAACAACTAATTTGAAAATCCATTGACCAAAACACATTACAGTACGAAATATAATGCAAATATAATGCGAAAGTCGAATGTCACTAGTCAATCAAAACAGTTTCTTTAGTAAGAACAGTCATGGTAGTGGTTTGTTGTAGTATTTTGTCTGATCCGTCCGAAGGTGTATCAAGTCGTTTTTGTAGTCTGTCCATGAGTGATGATTTCAACATGCATGTGCAGAGTAACACCATCACGAATACTACCACACAGATTGCTACTACAATTGCTTCAGGAGTTTCCATCACACTAAAGGACAAACTTTATATAATAATAAGTTCTCAGTGAAACAATAAGTTTTATTTTATATTCCTTTAATCATATTATTATATAAATTATTATTATATTGGTTGATATTAGTGAGACGGGGTAAGTTTATCTATGATCTTAGAAAAATGTATACTTTATAGTAGGCAATGCTGAGTGGCAGGAATGAGGGGCCAAAACGTTTGGGGCTAACAATGGCCCATTTACAAACCACTTCAGGCATGGCAATGATATCATGTATGCTCAATTTGTCTGAAACTGACCCTAGAGCCCTAGTACTGCACTTCTCTTAAAAATTCATTATATTCAGAACAAAACAAAAAAGTTCATACAGTACGAGACATCACTTTTCCGCCGCATCACCTTCATCTGCACTCCACTCCAACACAATCACATCGTCGACTACACAATCACACCTCAAGCATCTTTATTTTTCACATTTCACTTTGTTATTGTTTTCCTGCTAGGGTTTGCGTGCTTTTCTCGCTCTTTTTAGTAGCTTCTATCTTGATCGATTTGCACTCGCCTCTGGCTTTAGAGTGACACCACGACACATTTGGATTACGGAATTTGGATTCATTTTAGCAACGCCGATCTATAGATCTATCTTTGTAAACCTTGTAAACCTTGTATAAACCTTGTAAACCTTAAAGAAAAGTACAGGGGGGGGGGGGGGGTCGTGTCATGGTCACCCAGCAAATTTTGTTATCGATATACACAAAATGCTTGTGTCATTTCTAATCCGTTTTGCCTCAACTACCGTCTCTAAAGAAATTAGGCGTCCAGCATGTTCAGAGAGAACAATAAAGGTGTTTTAATATTGAATGGGCGTGGTCTAAAGTATTCGAATTTTAAAATTTTGGCGATGGAATCCTCAAATAAGTAGGTACAGTACAGCCATCTGCAAAGCAACAACTCTCAAATATAAAACACGGTGGAGGTATAAGACCCAACGCACACTGACTTTTGGCCCTCCTGTATATAATATACTTTTCTAGAAAATTCGAATAAAACTACATTATTCATTTTGCACCCAGAGAAAAATGAGATCTTTGATATTATGTTCTATAACGTGATATGCCGATATACGTATGGGTCTGCTGCAAGTTATTTTTTAGTTTTACTGAGATACTACAGCTTTTGCAAGCTTTAGTAATCTAGTCTTTTTGACCGTAAGTTTTGGAGTGGAATTTAAAATTATGTCTTTAAAAAATTTGGTGGCCAAATTGTTAAAAATGCAAATTTCCTTTAAAAAATATACATTTCAATATAACATGCACCCCCATGCCAGGACCCTAACGTCCCTCTGATGTTCAATAAGAAAAGTCGAATAAGTAGGCACTAGAGTGATATCTTAAATTTTCTTGATTTAAAAAAAAGTATCCCGAAAATCCATCATTTCTACATCCTCCCGGTGTAGTAAGTTTAAAGTAACCGTAGTTACAAGCTGCCACGTCTCCTGTCCCTACATTAGTACTAAATAGGAATATCGTCAAACTTATTTGTTCGAATCTTTTGAACGTTTTAAACGGTTTTTACCATTTCTTTTTAAAAGGTTCGTTCTCACTGTACACACAGTTTTTGTTCCACAATAGCCTCTAAAGCTTTAAATAAGATATATCTCTATGACTCTATTTCCTTCGTAGTATATTATAGTACTAAATGGGAATCTCAAGTATTGTAACGAATCTTTTGAACTTTTCTCCCATCCTTAAATGTTTTAAAAGCTTGGTGCTCATCGCTCACGCCCAGCTTTTGTCCCACTAAGTCTTTAAATACTGACAAATAGTATATATTCAGACGGCACCTCCAAAAGTGTATATTTCTTTCGTAGGGTGCCCTTCTAACAGTGTCACGATCTGATTTGCTGAAAAATACAACCGGCTTTCAAAATAGCCGGTTGTATTTTAGTCAGAAAAGGAAGTAAGTCAACATTTTTCTCAGAAAAGGAAGTAAGTCCAAGCAGTATAAAAAAATTAGCTCAAATAATTGGCATAAAAATGGTTGTTTCTAAAAATAACGGCCAGGTTGCAAATCGTGAGGTTGCGAGTTCGAATCCCACTGTCTGCCTGGTCGTGGGGTGAGCGTCGTCGACGTTCAGCTAGGGATCCTGAGTGGTCTATGCAGCCCCCTGGTCTACTCAGCCGAATACTCGAGAAATCGGGTGTGAGGGTTAAATGAGGAGCTGCACATTGCAGCAAAGTCTCGGGGGAAGAAAGTATGGTACTCACTACCTTAACCGTCACTGGCCAAATAAATCCTTCGGCTTCCTGTAATTGGCTGGTTGCACTTGTGTAACAATGTGGCTGTTGGAATACACCGAAGTAAAATAAATGTCTTCATAAAAAAAAGCTTCAATTTTTATGACAAATAAAATTTGACTATTTATTGATAACTCAACGACCAATGTGTTTAATTTTGATCCTAGGCAAAAACTAATCGGAGAGAAAAAAATAACGAAAAACGCAAAAGTCGTAATATCTCGAAATGGCGATGATGTGACTTACTTCCTTTTCTGAGAAAACGGCAGTAATACAGGTGACCAAACTAACATATAGCTACGAAAAGTTGCAGTTATAATACCATATTTATATTACACTACTACGGATTCATTTTATTATTTGTATTTGACAGCCCCAACGTTGATGTGGCCCTTGCTATGTGTTGGTTCAGCCGAATTAATTATTATACAATCAAGCTTATTTTTCTTGTTAATTAGTTATTTGTCATTCAGCCACACATTAAGCAACTTATATTGCAGTAACATAATTTTATCAATTAGTACAGGGTGGGCCAAAAGTCAGTACCCATACGTTGGCCTTTATAGCTCAGTCACTGAGTGCCCAATTTAAATACTTCTTTCTGGTATGACTTAGTACCACCACTGGTTCGAGGAATTTGTCAACTCGAAAAATATTCGCGTTCATTTTTTTCAAATGGAGGTTCATTTTCACATTTATTTGATAGCTTGGATAGTCGGATCAGGCTAAATGTTATTGAATTGTGTTTGGCCATTCGAATTACGTTTGTCCTGAAAGAATTAGAACTGTAGCTTCTCAGATGACCGAGATATGAAGCATAACGAGTTTA